ATGCATAATCGCACGACACAACAAATCGATAACGAAATTCGTTGCCAACGCTTTTAATCATCGATTTTTATCGATTTTATCGATTCGTTGTTGCAGCCTTAATGTGCAGCCAATCAGTGCCCAGGTTACATGGCACAATGCTCCATTTCTTAAAGAGACATGTCCTGACATGGTCTATTTCTTGTGGATCTTATGTTTGTAAGTTTAATTTTCTTGAAGAAACTTGTCCAAGTGACATGATTTAAATCTTACTTTTGAAAAGCTGGTTCAGCAGTCATGACTTCGCTTTGCAAAAATAATGTTAGACAGAAAATAGCTGCTGGAGACACTATCATACAGTAGTGGCTTCTGGGGAATGAAGTCCTGTTGAATGGTGATTATAGTATAGACTTATTGAAAGAAAACTACAAAATGGCGGCGCCTGTTCAAATTTATTTTATTAATTTTTTTAACATTTTCCCAACCACATGAGTTCAATAATATTACTGACAATTGTGTGGCGTATACTGTACTGCACTGTACTTTTTTTTTTTGACAAACCACGATAGAGGTAGTCCACAAAAGTCAACTCGCGAAATAGCGAGGGACTACTGTGGATCCAGAAACCCTCTGTACCTGCCTGCAGGATTCTGGATTTAGTTGCATCTCTCCTGTCAGATTACTGGATCGCCACTGTTTGAGTCAGACAGTTCTTGTTTTTGAGAGAAAGATTGCCAAATCAGGACACTTAGCAGAAGGATAAGACAAATTCACTAAGCACTAAGACACTTAGCCCTTTTCCACAGCTGTACATCAAGTTTGTTGCACTATCATACCCCCCCCCCACCCCCCTTTAGGTTCACAGTTTGTTGTTGATTCTAAAATTGACTGTCCTTTATCAATCTGTTTTGCTTTTTTATTGCACATTTAATTAAGTAGCAAAGTAGTAATTATAGTTGGTGCTATATCATGAGCATATTGGAAGTGCTGCCATTGATGTGTTAGTAAAGCAGTCATATGTTTAAGATGAATACATGAGAAAACTAGGTTGCATTTGGGCAATATTACACAAAATCAAACTTAGGTTACATGAATTGTTATGTAAGACTAAAACAATGCTGAGCATGCCACTGTGAGCATGTTTATGATGTCTGGTAAATTCAGATGAACTTCACAAATCGCTTCCCTTCATTGGTGAATGAATAAGTTAAACAGTTAGGTTACAGAATAAAGTCTGTGATTAATTTATTTAAAGTTGTACCACATATTGCCTTATTTTCATGTTTTTATATGGTTTTAGGACATTTGGGCAATTCAGATTCTGATCAAGGTAATATTGATGAAAGATAAAACACACTAAATGGACATATGGTAAAAGCTAAATGGACTGTACTTACAGTATATACAGTAGCGCCTTTCTATCTTATCAAGATACTCAAAGCTCTTTACACTACAATCTGTGTCCTCATTTACCCATTCATACAGCACTCTACTAGACCTCTACAAAGACTAATCAGTGCTTTATCACATTCATATATTGATGGGACACACATCGGAGGCAGTAAGGGGTTCATTGTCTTGCCCAGAGACTTCAGCATGTGACTGCTGTTGGAGTTGAACTCCCAACTCTTGCCTTGTAGGAAAACTGCTCTGAACACTCAGCCACAGCCGTCCACATACAAGGCACTGTATATATATATATATATATATATATATATATATATATATATATATATTTTTTTTTTTTTATGTGTGTGTATGTGTGTTTTAAACCCTTCCCACACTCTTACAATACTCTAAACAGTGTTTCTAAACTGTGACCGCTCTAAAAGAGCACAGCATGTCATGAGTCCAGCTCTTTTCCTCCTGCAAGCACTCTCGGCTGTGCCCACTTCTCCGCTGCACAGCAAAGTTCATCACACGCTGCAGTAGGAAGCTTCTCTTTCAGCTGTGGGCTGTACACAGGTGCACAAGCAAGCTTTTTCTGCAGTTGTGAGCTACACACAGGTGCAGCATGTGCTAGACAATTTAAGATAATTTATTTAAAATTAAAAAAATATTGATGCTGATTGTGTGCCTCAAACAAACCATTAATTAACCTTTTAAAAATGTTTTATATTTTCTATGTTTATATTAAAACATATAATTTATGTCCTCTCATCTTTCAGCTATAATGCTGTTTTCAAGGTGGTAGTAAAGTTTATATTAAAAATAATAGGAATGATGAATTGAATTGTGTTTGAGCAAAAATCATGTCAACATGAATAATCCCATTGATGCAACATATTCAGTTGAGTTATTGAGAATATTTTTGTTGTTGTTTCAAAACTGTGTTCTGATCAAGCAACACTTGACCTGGACTTTATGTAACTCAAGAGAAAACATAGTCTTTTAACTAAAATGATGCTATCAAATATAGATATAGTAAATGTAGAATGCCACACTGTCCATGGCTTTTTTTTTTTTGTCAGTAGCATCTATTGAGAAAACTACTGAATGTGATTTCCTGTCAGGTGCTGACTGTTGACTTTTTTCAATTAACAAGGGGATCTAAAAGCCCAGGACATGTGCTCCTCACTTGACTTCTCTAGAACAAGAAGAGAGCATGTTGTACATGTTACCTCTGGGTAACCCTCTAAACCAAAGGTGAAACCCCATCAATCATACTGAGCCCAGTCAATGCTGACATTTCTCCCAGGAGTTTAGAGCAGAACAATAAGTTGATGTTCCAGTTCTTTGTCAACAGGTTGTGTTTATTAGAACAATGCCAACATAGCACATCAATATTATTTTGTCCCTCTGGTGATACAGTATATTGAGCATTCAAGAGACCTTGTGTTCCTCTGTATCAAACATGAGCTAATCTGAATGGCCAGTGCAAAAATCCCCTACAGGTTCCTGGAAAAATAAAATGTTTAGGCAGCTGTTTTATATGATTTATTGAGCTTCAGTTTGTATGCAGTTTGTATGAGCAGCATTGCTTCTAACTCTTTCATTAGTTCACCAAAATGTCTCCTTAGGGCACACAACTAAGTAGGATTTTGGAACTCGCCACTCCAGAAAAGCTTTTCTCTGAGTAAATAATGACAGTAGTAATTAGACTAATCACTGATCTAATCACCTCCCATTAGGCTGGATTTGTCATTTAACCTCCGGAACGAATCTGATTTGTTTGACAAACTAATGTTAAGTTGGTCTTTTCATCAAAAGAACTCAGCATTATGACCAAAAGTCAGCCAAAATGTTGACTTTTATTGTGTAGTTTTTATTTCTATTTTATTTATTTATTTATTTGTTTTACTGTAATGTATTTTAGTTTGTCTTACTTGTATTAGAAATTGTATATATTAGGCTAAAGTATATACTACATTCCGAGCACACCCCCAGACGGCAGAGCTCGTTACCTGAGCGTGGAGGAGGCTGATGTCTGGAATCTCATTCTTTTGATCATGATCTAAAGCTAATGACCAAACATGACGGTTAGACTGTAGGCAGTTTGGTAAATCAGAGCTTTGCTGTTTGGCTTACTTCCTTCTCACCACAACAGACCATACCACATGATACAGCACTGGATAATTAAGATTTGTGTGGTTCATTAAGATATGTATGAGAAGGAATGAGCAAAGACTGGAGTTTTATTTAGAAACCGCATAGTTGTAGGACATACTTCTCCAGTACTGCGAGAACAGTCATTTTCCAGTCTAGGTGTTAGCATGTTGTCCTAAAAGAGCATTTTAACACAATGCCTCATTGTGACACCTTTAAATATAATCTTTGGAATCTTTCTCTCTGTTAATTTGGTTATATGTAGGATTTTAGAGATGATGAGATAAGAAAATAAATGTATTGTGAAAGGATCAAACAAAGAATTATGCAAGCATGACCAGATGAATTTGTGCACTGGAGATTTGATCTAAATTCTAATGAATAAAGTCTACCAAAAATGTTAAAGATGTTATATGAGAAGTAAGATGTTTTTATTTATTTGCAGACTGTATATGCCAACAATGTTTTCAGCTGAGAATTAGCATGAAGTTGACTCCTTCACAGGTGAAGGAACAAAGTGAACTGCCACAATATCAATTATGAAGCAGATGCTACGAGAACGTTTTGAGTTAATGTGTTTGTTGTTGTTGTTGTTGTTTTTAAGTGGTTACATCAAAACAAAGCCAAAACTAAGATTTGATATTCCATTCCACCATCCATGATAATATAAACTGAGGTCAGTGAACTCATGAAGGTCAACAAGACCTTGAGGCAGAAGTGAATTCATAGTTGTTGCAACTCCCAATGAGAAAATATTATTGGTACTGAGATGCACATGTGGTTCCATTTGTATTAATATTTGCACTGAAGCTTCTAATGCATATACATGCAATCTATTAGTTCAATATGAAGATGTAAATAGTAATTTTTTCAAAAGTCTCTTCTACAGAACAAATATCTATGTTGTTTTCTGGCTTTCTGCTTGCATAGACTGGTATCTTTTTTTCACTTTCAAAAATGTATTAATTTATGTATTGTTTCATTTTTATAATTGCCAGGCTTTGGCCTGCATAAGGTGTGCCACAGAGGTCCACTTTTGACATTTGCAGACTCATATACGTAGATGAAGAAATGTATATCCAATATACTTTGATAGAAGATGAGTAGGCAGTCAAGATTGACAGTAGGTGGGTCTGCTGTAGGAGATGGTTATTCCTGGTTTGAATCCACACTAGTCTTAGTTGCAATTGACTATAAATTAGCATTTTAGTATAACATAGGTGCATTGTACAGAATGAACGGATTACCCATTCCCCTGCTGGAAAATGTATGTGTGCTTTTTCTGAAGAGGGCAATGCAGAATACCTTGTTGAAATAAGAGATGATTATGAGAGCTCTAATTGCCTCAAGAGGATCCTTTCTGGAATATCTCTCATGAAGTAAAATAAAAGAGGAGCAAAGGGAAATTTCCAGTGAATTGAAAAGTGCTTAACTATAATGGACACATGATTGAAGAACTGCCTTTGTGTTTGCAGGAGAATGCCTTTGCCTTGATGGGTACATGAAGGACCCAGTCCACAAACACCTCTGCATCCGCAGTGAATGGGGTCCCAATCAGGGGTAAGTTATGATAATCACCACCTGATTGCTCATTAGCTTGGCAAAATGAAACCGTAGAACAACAAAAGAATTGTCCTTCCTGTCAAAGCAGACGTTATTTTTCTTAGATGACACAAAAGCCTGTGATGCTGCGAGTGACAATTAATGTTTTGAAGCAAACAAAATTGAAGATTTAAATAGCGTTCCTAGTGATTTGAACAAATGTGTACATAACAAAAGAAAAACAAAGTTATTAGTAATGTGTAGCTTTTTGCATACCCAAAACAATAAATCTTCCCCAATTAATTTATTTATTTACTTTTGTTGTTGTTGTTTGTTTTCTTTGGGGTTATTTGTTGGGGGAGGGGTGCCTTCAAGACGAGGCAAAGGACAGGGGAGCTATAGAAAGGATCCTCTGGACAGGCCTGGAAAGACATCAACCTGGTCCTACTGGTTATTTCGCTACATCTTTTGTTTTTGGAACCAAAAAACAACAAAACTGAAAAAAAAAAAACCTTGGATATCAATATTAATATTTAGGTGTTTTATCATTAAAAAAGGCTTATTTAACAATGAAAATCACTGTTGCTGACACCTTCAAAGGAAGTGATACACTAAATATTGAGCAAGTGTTAAATCTACTTGCCTTAAAAGTCAGTAACATCCATCCTACCCTAGCTGTGTTTACATGGACATAAGTAATCGGCTTAAACGGCCATTCGGAATAAAAATGCATCATGTAAACGCCCCGTTCATATTATTCTTTGTTGATTCAGCTCGATCCGAATACATTTCTAATCAGAAGAAGACGGGTAGTTTATACTTATTCATAATCCAAATGTGATCATTTTATTCCAATTGTGGAAAACTGACCTGACTGCATGTTCACTTATTTCCACCTGGCTAGATGCTAATATGTCAGGGAAGTAAAACTGGTCGGTGAGCGACAACATTTCTACTAGAAACTTTGAAAGAGCTCAGAATGATCTGTATTACCTGTAGCTCAGTCGGAGAGTGCGGTAACGTCCCCACCGTCATTAAAACCTGTCTCGGGTCCATTTTGGGCGCTCAGGTTTGTTTACGTTCATCCCGAAAGTAGAACTTCTTCTTATGTGTTTATTTATTTATTTATTTTTTAAGGAGAGTTTACCACTCTGCGCATGTCAGTACTTCTATTCAGAATAAAAGTCCCGCTGCATGTAAACACTCGTCATGAACGGATTGTGCCCATATAAACAATACGAATGGATTAATTTATCTGGATACATTTCAACCAAAACAAAGAATTTTGCACATGCAAACATAGCTAATATCAACCACTGGTAACCCTTATAAATGAAAATGTGAGGGCCCTACAAACTCTCATATTGCACGTAGAGAACACATTATTGGAAAATGGGTTCTTTGTTGTTGTTTTTTTTTGTTTTGTTTTTTTACACATGTCTCCATTAGTGCAGCTCATCATGTTACAAATCAATTGAGTCTTCTTTACAGTATTGTTGAACTTGTGTGGTTGAAGGTAATCAAGTGCTAATATGATCTTGCAGGTTCCTGTATGTAAGAGATTTTTCACAATTTTCTTTCTTTCAGAAATGTAACACCCACAGCGACGTGTAATGCATCACATAGAGGAGAGCTACATGTAAAATTGCTTGTGGCTTCAAACTCCACAGGAATCCTTTTTAAGAAATGCTAAGAAATGTTAAGTCTATTTAAAAACTCCACTTTGACTTTCTCGCCGTGTTGTAAAACGCCTTTGGGTTGTACAGCCACTTAAAACCTCTCAGTGAGAAAGAATTTGGTAATGGCAAGAACATGTCGAGCTCAACTCTTAACCTGTAACATCGCGGGCTGGCAGCTAGCAAAGCACAGCGTTTTCTCTGTATTTTGACATCGTCTGTGTCACGGGCAAAATGTGGATTTTGTTCTCCACTTTTTGAGACATCTGAATATTTTCAGCAGCTTCCCCAACCGTGCATGTTAGTGTCTCATTTCCCTGGTGCTCCTTCTTTGTCCCTGTCACTGTGTAACAGAGTGGGCAGCCTTGGGTGACTTAAATGTTTAATGATTTGCAGCCCATGGCACGGAGGCCGCTCCCCTCACACTGATGTTCTTTTTGCTTACAGTGGTGGAGTTTTCTCAGAACGACATCGGGCCCCTGTCACTTCTCCTCCTCGCGCTCTCACTTTGCAGACTGTTTAGTCCCAGAGCTGCCACTCCCCATTAATCTCTATCATTCTTCCTCTCTCACTTCTGCCTCTTGGCATCTGTCTCATCGCCACAATGTTCGTTTCACTCTCACTCCTTGTCTCTATTTTTTTGTTTCTTCACCAGCATCTGCTTTTCCCATCTCCTTCTCTCTCTCTCTCTCTCTCTCTTTCTTTTTTTTCTGCATCTCTTTCCATCATTCTGTCTCATCTTGTCATCACCTCTCATCCTCTCCCTTGGTAAATACATTTAAGCCAAAGTCACATTGCATGTCAGCAGCAGCAGAAAAATATGTTTTTAGTCGGCATGTTTGCACATAGCCCTTGAAACACTTGACTTGAAACATGGTTTGAGATTTTGGATAGTTTCAATTAGGTGTAGGCACTTTAAAACATTTAAAAGTTCACTGGCTTTGATTTTAACAATCAGTTCCCCTCTCTTCCTCTCTTTTCCTTCTTTTTGTCTGATCTATTTTTCCTTCATGAAAGTCCCTGGCCTTACACCATCTTCCAGCGTGGTTTTGATCTTGTGATGGGAGAACAACCCTCTGATCGTATTTTCAGGTAAGAAGGACTTCACAAAACTTTTTTTTTTTTTTTTTTCACTTCTTCAATCAGATAATTTGTTAAATCTGTGAAACAGCATATGTGATTGACATTTTTCATGAGACATGAAAACAGTGAGAAAGTAGCCTAATTTACCTACAGGATTAAAAAAATAAAAATAAAACATGCCACTTTAAACTTGGAAAAGGTAAAAAAAAAAACATACAACACTGGGTCACTTTGTTAATTGACACGTTTTTACTTGTTGTTTCTTCTGTTCCAGTTTCCTGATTTGAAATGGAAATTAACATTTTTTTGTTTTGTCCGAATGTTTTTAATAAAACTTGAGTCACCATCAGGAAACTGTGCAGCCTTCCAAGGTTGTACAAAATAACATATTTAGGATGTGAAACTCATGAACAGTTACACCTACTTGTATTGTAACAAAAACCATCAATACTCAATATGTCTTATGTTGTAATGAACTGATAAAAACTGAGAAGAAAGAAGTGTACATGTAAAATTATTTGATTTAATATATGTATTCATCACATTGCTTACACGTAAAAGTGGCAAAATAAAGAAAAAGTGGAAACAAAAATATTATTGGATTTTCCACATAATTATTTTAAAATCATTTTTCATCTGGCATACAGAGACATGACAAAACGCAAACAAAAATTGTTATTATTATGATAAATGTCATTTTTGCAAATGAATACCAGCTGAGTTCCATCTGTACTACAGAGTACTGATTAATGATAAATCATTCAGTGCCTAAAATAAGTACCTGGATGTGCATCTGAACCATACTATTTGTTTAGAGAGTCAAAATATTTTATTAATATTATTTTGGAATAGATCAATGTTGACCTGTTGAAGGTGTACCCACCTTCTGCTCATTGTTATTTTTATTTTTTTTTTATTTACCCTTTATTTATACAGGTAGTCTCATTGAGTCACAATGACTTATTTTCAAGAGAGACCTGTTTGGGAGCAGATGGTGGGGGTTAAGGGCCTTGCTCAAGGGCCCAGAGTAGGGCAAATGAAGGTGGAGGCAGGTGTGGGTGTTTCACCTTTTCCTCCCACATTTTGATGTCGCCGGTCCAAGGAATCAAACTGGCGACCTTCTGAGCACAGGCCCACCATCTCTAACCTCTGCTCCACCACTCCCCATTGACTTATGGCTCAAGTTCCAGCAGTCCTCCTAAACTCTGAATAGAGTAAACTAGGTACAAAAATCTGGCAGATGCAAAGCGCTCCTTTTGTTTTAATATAGCAGTTTTTGCTAATCAAAGAACACATTAGTTGCTAGATAAAGTTGTTGCGTATTGCACACAGCAAGAATGCAATTTTAACTACAATTGTGAAAGGTACATTCAAAAACAATCTACCAATAAAAAAAAACCAAAAGTAAATGTTAGTTTTCCACCTGAATTATAGCCATTAATTAGGGTTTTAATACAAGTATTATATTTGTTATGTTGGTGTCAAATCAGACATGTTGCCTTTATCTTCATCACACTCTAGCTTTTTTCACTAAACATTTTTAAGCCATGATGGAGATCCCCCCCCACCACCACCACCACCACCACCACCCAACATTTTGATGTGTTTTACAAAAGAACTGATTTGAGTGATTGAATCCAACCAGCTGTTGTTACACCTCTGAGCTGCTAAGTGAGGTAGTGCCAGTCAATAACGGTCAATATATGTAAGAGTAAACTGGCATTGCAGCTCGACAGTATGTTATAATGACGACATATGGCCTGTGCGACCATTAGGAATACAAGATGTTTGATTCTATCTACGTATTTATGTATGTGTGTGTGCATGTGTGTGTATGCATTGTGCTTCACATCAGTGCCATTGAGCTACACTCCACACCTCCCATGGTTCTGTAATTCTGGCTTCATTTCTAAAAGCTCGCATGTGGCTCGACTCGGTTGGTGATTTATGAACAGCCAGAGGCAGCTTATAGAAGGGCTCATCTTTGTGCCCATACACTGTTCTGTAAAAGAGGAATTCAGACTCCTTCCATTACAGTGCTGCAGCAAAAACAACAAAACACTGACTGTACTTCTACTTTTATTAGACAAAGAAAACTACGCAGTTCATTGTAGACCACTCATTTGTTAACACAGCCTGTTGGGAACGAACAGGAGAGGCTACAATAACACTTCATTTTCTGTAAAAAGGCTTTGAAACATTATCTTCCCAATTGGCATTTTCTCTAGAGTCATCTCTTCCTTCTGTTAGGATAAAGGTTTTTAAACGTTGTCCTCAGAGTGTTCCCACACAGCTATCCATCCTAATTTAAACACACATCTTAATTCAATCATTTGAGTCTCTAGTTATCCTTACCAAACGGTCCTGCACTTCATCTTGGATTTTAGTGAGCGTTCCAAGAGCCATGCAGCTCTTATTTTGTTTGCTTAAGCATATGATTGTTTAACAGCATATTATTATAGGGAGTAAAATGAAACAAAGTAAACAGAGAAGATAAATGCTGAGACTCGACATTCAAACACACAACACTTGTTATCTGCACTGAAGTAACAGGGAGGTCCTCTAAGGACCGCAAACATGTTTTCCACTCAACAACCGTTTCCTCGTGGGGACTCTTAGTTTTCCACCTCTCGTTTCTCTCAGGGCGAACCAAATAAGTCATATAGTGGAGCACCAGTCCCCAGTTGTCTATTACACAACAGAGCTTGTTAAGCGCCAGCTAATTCATCCTGTAGTCACCTGCGTACGTCACACTTCATCACGGGGAATCTCAGCTCTACTGCTGAACACACTCCATCAAGAACAAGTGGAACAAGAAGTGGAAACAACTTTCAGGAAGTAGTATGCCTGTTTAAAGTAGTTTGCATCTAAAAAAAAAACTAAAAAAAAACCTAGAATAGCACATAAAGAGGACAAAAGGCAGCACTTTGATCCATTTAAAGTCTTGAAATTGAAATAAAAGAAGTGATTAGGTTGAAATAATTAAATGTTTTGGTTTCTGCAGTGTTTTATAATCATGTTGGTGCTTCTCATTTCACTGGCCTCTTCATATGCTAAGTTAGCTTCTGAATAAATTCCAACTGAATCAATAACGATTGAAAAAATAGGTTTAGTATACATAAAAAATGTTGACCATTTAATCAACAAGCTTTTGTCTTCTGTATTACAAGTTACCATGGATTATTCATTAGTTCTAATATTGCTCTTTATCATCATTAGCATGCTCTGCTAAACTTAACGACTGATAAATAATATTTCATCTGCATGGATGTTTACATTTTGGTAAAATTTACAATATTCAAAACAAAATAATAATAAATATAATTTATAAAAGAACATCTTGAAAGCCTTTGTTCAGGCATCTGTTGTTTTCCAATTTCATCGCCATCTTTGCTCTGTGGGGAAAAATCCTTCTTGGCTCTTTTTAACAGGGTTCCACATTCGGTGTGCATTGTGTCATGAACACACATTGTCCCTCTGATGAGAAAAGATTTATGCATAAAAGGATAACTTGTCTTTGAAAAAGTCAAACAAATAACCCCCAACCAACTTGAAGCACTAACTCAGAATCAGTAATACAATAAAGTGGAGGTTTTGATGCAGTACTCTTCTTGTTTTTCTTATTTTATAAGTAGTTCGTTAAATATAGTCAATAATATCATAACGATTATTTTATTTTGAATGTTGTGTGCTTTTGTCAAGTGTGCCATACATTGTTTTAGCTAATGCAAAAGTTAGAGGATTTGAGTCTGACAATATTAAAACAAATGTTTTCATGCATGAAAATATTAAAATGCTAAAGCCAGTATCTCAGTGGGCTGTGACTGTTGGCGTCTGGTATGAACAGTATTTAATCGTACTCTATTAATCTAAGGCACCAGGGGAGCAGCAGGGGGCGGGGTGGGGTTAGGGCCCAGTGTGGGGCAAATGAGGGTGGAGGCAGGTGTGGGTGCTTCACATTTTCCACCCACATTTTGATGTTGTCGATCTGTGGAGTTGAACCGAGGAGTTGACAGGTGACCCTCCAATCACAGGCCCTCCCTCTCCAACCTCTGCGCCACCACTCCCCCTTTGCATGGGAATCTCCTAAATAGTTGTTTTCTTTATTCCTAATTCAAAAAGGCAATTTGTGAGTCAAGTTTTCCAACAAAATAGTCACAAAATTCCAGATGTTACAACAAACCTGTGGCGGCACGGTGGTGCAACTGGTAGAGCTGCTGCCTCTCAGCGAGCAGGTCCCTGGTTCAAACCCCGGTCCAGGGGCCTTCTGGGTGGAGTTTGCATGTTCTCTACACATGTGCATGCGTGGGTTTTCTCCGGGTACTCCGGTTTCCTCCCACAGACCAAAAACATGCATGTTAGGCTGATTGGTAACTAAATTGTCCCTAGGTGTGAGTGAGAGAGTGAATGGTTGTTTGTCTCGTTTGTCTCTATGTGTCCCTGTGATGGACTGGAGACCTGACCAGGGTGTACCCCGCCCCTCGCACAGTGATTGCTGGACATGGGCACCGGCAACCCCCGTGACCCAAAATGGAACAAACGGGTAAAGACAATGGATGGATGGATGGACAACAAATCTGTCTAAATTTTGTTATAGGCCTTTCCCACTCACCTCGAGCTCTAAGAGAAAACATGTTTTGGTCTGTAAAATACAACGATAATAAAAAAAAAATAATAATAATTGCTGGAAATCTGGCTCAAATCTGTTTAATGTAAATGTGTACTCCAGTATGTTATATGTATGACAGTTTGAAGACAGCTGCAGAGGTTGGTACAAAGTGAGCTGTGTCATACTGTATTGGCAGAGGTGGACAACAAAATATTGTGCTCAGCCTAAAATACAGTTTTGTAAATTGTTACCACAAAAATAGGCCATGCTTTTCTAAACTGGATGAGTAAAATGCAGCTGGTCTCTTGGTCACAAACATCCATTGAGACTGGAAATGAAAAATCACCTAATTTCTTATAACTTTGCTTGGCTCCAACAGATGCATCTCCTTGAAACACCTGTAAAGTCATTGTTTGACTTGCCTTTGTGTAAATCATATATTACTGTTTATTAAATCAATTCAGCTTTCTTAAGGCTTCCATATGGGGTTGGAAATAGCTATTGTTTTCACATATATACCCTTTTTTTTCATGTAATTCAAACTTGTGCACGGGGCTTAATTTGTAATAATTTGTAATTGCAATTAATTTGTAATATTTTGTAATTGAAATTAATTTGTAATAATTTTTTGCCTGATCCTGCCAGAACAGGATCTGGGAACGCTCTTATTTTGACAGGGTATTTTCCAGTAACACTTAGGCTTACTAATAATAAAGTTATGAACAAATATGACTGCCTTGAACGGATACAACTTATACTGGGTATGTAAACTGAAAACAATTACATAAACACTAATTTTAAACACAACAGCCACTTCCGACTTCTTAATATCACATACGAGCTGTCCTTCCAGTAGCATTTCCACCTCTACCCTTAAAATAATCTCTGCCCCTAAAAGAGTGGTGGAATGTTTGACAGAAGTGATGTTGACAAATGTAGGTAAACATAGATGTTTAACAACCTGTTAAAATACACCAAATTGCAGAAAATCACATTGACTGTATTCAAAATTTTCTGGAGGAGGACACCCACCCAGACCCTCTGTCTCCAAACCCCTGCCCCCTACTGGTCCGTCCACTATTTGTGTCCCGGCATCAGTCAGTTTACAAATTAAGCCCTGCTTATGCATAATTCCAATGACTTTAATAATTTTTAATGCACGTCTGTCATATTTTTACTCCTAATTTTCCTCCCTTTCTTTAACTTTTTTTTTTTTGTGGTCTTTCTACAGATTCACTTATACTTTAGGAGAAGGAATGTGGCTCCCACTGAGCAAAAGTTTTGTGATCCCTCCTGCTGAGCTTGCCATCAACCCATCAGCCAAATGCAAAACAGACATGACGGTAATGGAGGATGCAGTAGATGTCAGGTAAGACTTTTCAGACACATTGTTTCAATATACCTCATATATGTATGCATGTATGTATGTATATATATATATATATAT